CAAGACTTTCGACAGTAGAAATCGTTGTTAGCATAGCTAACTACAAGTCAGGGGTTAGGCCTTCTACGGCATCGAGCGCATTAGCTTGGCAGGCCTTTTGTAAGCCGGCAGAAGGAATTGCTAGGGGGTCACTGACTAGTTAATCAAAGATGCCAGTCAATGGTCGACACCTTACAGGCATGTTAATATGACATAAGACCATGTGTTTTCATTGCCCCCAGATCATTGGCAGGTGTATGTCATTATAAAATGCGTATCACCAGAGTGTCACCATGCAGCCAATGTAAAGCACAGAGCAGGCTTCCTTTACGTCGAAAGGTATTCTCTCCAAGTTTACCTACATTGTGCGATAGACCTGCTCAGCCAGCAGCTGGCACCATGTACGCAATAAATGTGCACACTTTCTGTGTAATAGCTGGCTTTTCCTCTGATCGGACTACAATAATTAGCAATAGAAAAGAAACACGGTTTATGGAAAGTATATAGAAGTAAATTGAGAGTAGGTTTTTCCGAACAGGTGCTTTTTCTGTGTTTAGGCTGATACATAGAAATTGCCAAGTTCTCGCCTTGCATGGCCGTGAGCTGATATCAGTGATTTTAAGAAGCGATTGATGGTTTTGCCAAATCCTGGGAAGGGAATTTGTTGATTGAATCTGTTAAACTGGTGGCTGTTTTGCAAAGCTGGCGAAGGTGACGTTGGGATGGCAGTCTGAGGGGCTTAGGTCAGTTGCGGAGGACATTTTTTGTGTGGCAGTTCTAGATACTAGGAATGACGACCAAGCATCTCAGAACTGGTTTTGTCCATTGGGAGCCTCACACAGAGAGACAATATACCCCGAATGCTTAATCACCCAAAAATGCACTTTTATGAGTCAAGTGGAGCAAAGTGGGCAGTGGTCCTCAGAGCATTGGGGGATAAAGGTCACATGAGTAATCGAAAGAGTGCATGTATGACGGACTCCACAGGAACCCACAGACTGGAGTGTTTGTGAAGGGTGTTAGCAGAGCAGTATGGAGTGGGCTGCATTTTCCCAGAATGCTTTACGTCCACTCAACCCCCTAGAGGGAAAGATAAATGTCAGTATATACAAAATTGTTCTTAGTGATCACATTTCTGTCCTGGGATTCCTCCGTTCACTGGGCATTAGTGGTCACTCACTAGTTTGATGAGTGTGAGTGTGCATTGACTGTTCCTGTCAGCAGACCTCAACCCAGAGATGTACTTTAAGACATTCTGAAGCTGCACCTTAGGTAGTATTTTGCACCATCATCAAAACACCAAATGATGGACATTTGCATTGACGAGGTTTCATATCCCTGCGGTAGAGTCCCAGGAACGATCTATGCCGAGGTGCACAGGAGCTGTTCTGCAGCCTCAAAGGGCCAAAGCCTTATGAAAACAATTCAGACTCGTTGTCTTGGCAGCGTCCTATATTATAGCCGTGTATTTCAGCCCACAGTAAAGAGAAACTTGTTGTGCTTGCCAAATATTTTTTCTAAGCACAACTTGCAGTGTGCGCCAACCGGTTTCTGTAGGAGAGAATTCTAATTGCATTGAATTACTTTGCCCTTTTATGTGTGTGGGGATTTGCCTACTAGTAGTTAAGTTTTCCGAACAAACAGACAAGGATTGGGCACCATTAAATGGCCTGGTGCCAGCTTCACTTCACCCAGCACACTACAGTAAGAGTGCTCCATCCGGAAAGAGCGACCGAAAAGCCAAACAAGCCGCGTAGGATGAAGAATTCATCATATTTGACCGTTAGACAACATTAAGGGCCTGAGAGCAGTGAGAGTCCTTCCAGGCTGTGGATCAAAGGTTCGCTTTGACTGCAGCTTCAGTTATTTCCAGGTCCTCGCTAAGCCTGTCGAACACGGGGTAATTGTGCAACGGGCGGTGGGCAGCGAGGTGCAGGCTGGCACCCACCTTAATGCGAGGGACTGAGCCGTGGATGGCGTGCAGTGCAAAGCGGTGCTGTGGGCTCAGTAATGAGAGGACCAGTGCCTGCTTTCTGATTAGGCTCCCCACCGGGCTCTGGGGCCACCGCCGTCCTGGGCACACAGAGCCTCGACGAGCCGGCTTCCAGCCCCAAGCGTTCCTGACGGAGAGTCACCTTTCCAGGCGGGGGAGGAGGGAGGATTTTACACTGAGAGCCGAAGTCCTAAAGTTTAGCTCGAGCTAGTGCTCTGTCAGTTATTACTGCCTGTCTGCCACTTCCACCTCCTCTGCTGATCAGCAGAACGGATCACAACAAGCCAATGGACTGGCCGGCGTTCACCAAGCAGGGGACGTCGCTCTAACCCTCTCTAATGGCGCCTTATGTATGCCAGCTCTGCAAAACAGAAATGAATGATCTCGAGTATAAGCAATGTCTGCAATAATCTTGAGGCTTTGAAATACAAACAAACCATTTAAATTAATGCTCCTAATTCTGTGTATATTAAAGTCATTTTTTGTCACCACTCCCATATTCCTGCTAATTCAGTCAGTTTTGGCCAGCATCTGTTTGACTATCCCCCCCCCGCCTGTCCCCCCAGCCGCACACATTCCCACCCCCCAGCCACACACATGCCTACGGGCCTCCTGTCGGGATCCTGCTGGTGCGCGGGACGCCTGACATGGGCTGGCTGCGGGGGGGCTGATCTCTCAGCCCTCTGTCAGGTACCAGCAGATGCTGATGCAGCATCCAGCTACCTAACCCCCCCCCCACTTCTTCACTGCGACATTTCCCATGTTCTCCATCGTATTGGGGTGTCCTGGCCGCGTGGGTTGCTGGTGTGACTGGGACATAAAGAGGGTGGTTAGGGTTAGCTCATGGGAGTTTTACTTACACAAAAATGTTCTGAGGGCACAATGAAAAATGATTGGTTCAGAGAGATAACCAATCATACTGTCGAGGAGGTGGATCCAAGCAACTAGAGGAGGCAGGGCTAACCAATCAGATGTCTTGGACCCACCTCCTCTACAGTCTGATTGGTTACGGCTAGGCTTAGGCACATAGACTCTCGAAGCATGACAATCAATTAAAAATATGAAAAGAAATCATCTGAAGTGGGCAAATAATGAACATAATGTTGTAATTATGGAAAATAGTAAATGCAATCAAAACCTACCATTGCTCTGATATATTTGATAGCTCACTTTCCTGGATTCAGTGGTCAAATCAAGCCTAATGTTTCAAGGGGTTACAGAGGAAGTAAGATCTGGTCTTTCATCCATGGGTACCCAGTACATCACAGGCACCCATCCCAGTATTTGGGACACAGGGTGATGCAGTCGAGATGCTCTTAACATCTCACAAACACTCCCGGGTGGGGGCACTTCTGTAGTGGCTCCCATCAGTCGCCCAGCCCAAGCTGGCCCCACCATTCATCATTCCTATCATCCTAAGACCTGAGACGTCTGTGAACCCCCC